TCTCTTTCGATTATGAATTTAGACTAGATTGGGAGTGTGTCCAAATTTTGTGAAGAAGGATCGTGTGAAGGATTCATCCGTCTTTGGTATGAGTTTGATAATCAGTTATTTTTTAGATATACTCGAAGGGGCCAGTGTTGAATTGTGTAAAGGTCAGTGAAAATGGGTGGTGAACGTTGTCGCAAGTTGCAACGATCATCAGACAGTCTATATGCTTACAAGTTGAGGCGTACAAGTTCGGAGCGTCATCGAATAAACGAATCTCGCAACGAACGAGCCAGAAGACGGTCGAGAAACAAACACAATCACTCCAATAAACATGTTCGTTTTCATTTGATATTTATCGACGTTTTCCTTACACATGTTCTATGGTTGCGTTGTCCGTTTGAAAGTCAATACTTGAGGAATCATGGCAAAACAATCCTTTTGCACAATAACAAAGTCGGATCGCAATATTCAGCGTAAGTGTAGAATAAAATTTCATGTAACGTTTACCTCATGATATACATGTAACCATTTACTTCATGTACTTCATGACGTTTACTTCATGTAATCATTTAGGGAGTAGTGTCTCTCAGATCCATATCCTCTGTTCGTCTCAGATTAATTGAGTATTCAGTTCGCTTAATTTTTTGCTCGTTTTGTATCTGTCGATAGTGAAAGAATTCTTAAACTCAATTTCGCAATCAAATTCACGACCCTTTATGGTATGAGACGCATGCCAGTAAACTGAGCCGAATATTTTAATTGATCGTTTCGATGACGAATAACAGCAATCATGCGGGTATTCCGCTCAATTAGAATAGCGTCAACTTTTCGATGTTAAAACAATTACGAATGAAGAATGATGAAAGCGTGTAGCACAATCCTGTATTTGTATGGATGATATGCAAATTACCGAAGACTCATGCAGATACATGCGGTGTTTGAAAGCGAAGTAGAAAATAGATAGAATCTAAAATTTGCAGTAAAAGTGGACAGTGTATTTTGGTTTTAAATTGGGAGAGGGGGAGGGGGCAAAGCTCTTGAATTTTCATGAAATAATGATAAAATGAAAAAGTCTGAATAATGATTGTAAATTTTATTATCATCATTCACCTCAGTGAGCCTAACTGTAGGACCTTCCAGTGCTTTATTCTGGGGGCAATATTTCATGCTTTCATCATTGATTCTTTGTAATTCGTCGTGACGGTAGCGTCAGACGCCGTGACGTCAACGATGTCCTAACAATTTCAAATAGTTGTATTATAGCTGGTTGTCTCAGCAAAACAATTAATAAAGATATCTGATAAAGCTATAATAGATTGAATATTTTTCAAACAATAGGAAACTTTAGTTATGATTCACGTTTGCTTCTGTTATGACCCAAATTTTACAAAAAGCTTTCTTGCCTTATTCTATTTGTTTTCGCTTTGCATTCGGTATCTCTTTATAACTGTCAATTCTTTTTTAAATTTTATTTTGTTAACGTGATTCAGGGAATGGATCGCTTGATTATGCATTCATGTTAATATTCGCACCTCACACGCCAACGTCAAGCTACTCTTTTAATCGCACTCTTAATTTGTTATTGTGATGTATAATTTTCAGTGATGAAAATGATCGTCACAATTTTTTTGAATTGGAAATATCAGTCAGTAACAGTGACCTTTTTTTCAACAAACGAATACTTTTTAGTTGCGAACGAGCGCTGTGACGAAAACTTGCTATATA